TTCAGAGCTTGGTTCTTCAGAGGACTACATCTCAGATGCATTGATAGCTTCCAGATCAAATACACTTCTTAGAACAGAATCCACAAGAGCATTACAACAACAATATACAACATCTTTGGATCTTTCTGATTATGATCTGATACAGTGGCAAACTGTTTCTTGAGTAGGCGCTTTAAATTCTTTATCCAGAATATCACATGGTACTTCACTCAGAGTTTCACTTGAAAGCTATGCTTTAAGTCACGTCACACAAAGTAACTTCATATTGGCTTTCATGCACTTCTTGATATTGTTTGTTGATTTGATATATTTATTTAATGATCTACGCACAACAACCATTAGAACATAAAATGATTCTTTCATAAATACTTAATTGTTATCATCAAAACATAGAGATATCATGTTGAGACAATTCTTGCTCTTAGAGAAATTCGATCCTAATAAACTCTCATATCTCTCTTAAACTTTATAGTTTTCTTTCATTCGTTTACCTTTAAATTCACACCTTACAAACTCAAGCTTGGAAACATAGAGACTGTTGAACGACATTTGATGTCGCCCCGATTCATGTGGAGACGACAATACCAGATACTTACTTACTTTTGCTTGCTGCTTTACTGCTTCAACGATTTCCTAAAATATGTTGAGAGTACAAATCTAAACCAGATGAAGGAGAAGATTGTCTGTACTTGGACATATCAAGTTAGACACTTTGGCAATACAACAACTAAAAAAGTTGAATATGCACATGCTACACTGAAGAATTGCTTGGGAAATAGTAATCATATTTTTTTTGTAGAAGTTGGGATTTTGTGAATCAAATGATCCGAAATCGACATAGTGAGATACAAATATCTTTTGGTCGGAGCATTACTGTATTAGAACACCAATATAAAGACAACATTCTTTATTCTCATTTGGTTGACAAAATCTCACGAGCGGGATTGAATTTTTATTTATTACAAAGCCAAGCAAATAGAGAAAATAGGATCAGATGGTTCAAAGTATGGTTGTACACTTAGGAAGACGTACGATCTTCCATGTGCTTGTTTAATTACTATGTATTTCAGCATTCCACTTTGATATGTAGCACTTGGGACATGTTGCTTTTGTTACATGTTATGTTTTCTTGAGTCATTTGGATTATTTAATTAAGTAAATTACATAAAAGAGACCAATAAATGAATTATTTGAAGTTTTGATGTTTTACTCCACTACATGTTTTATGTTATCACGTTGATGAATGATGAGTGTTGAGTATGTGTAACACCTATATTCGAGAAATTATATGCTTATCTTTTATATATAGAGTCAGGTTTTAAGTTGTTACAACATCCGAGGACGAAATCCAAAAAAACTCAAAAAAGTCAAAACATCTTCTTCCTCAATCCATCTCCATCTCCATTTTTTCTCACCTTCAAACTCATCTCTAACTTCTATTTTATCATGCACAACATCGTTTATTATTCTAAATCGTTTCAAGCATCATTCTCAATTGCATTCTCACTTTAATTTTCATATCCAAACCCTAGAATGTATGTCTTCTATTCTAATTATCTTTCCTCTGTTTTACCTCTGAAACAATGAGTGGTTTGTTGTTGTGAAGGTGTTAAAACAAATTTTTTTTGTGAAATTTTTCACGTTGGCTCTACAAATAGTTAAATTCATGGTTTGTTTATATTCTTAAATGGTAGAAGTGCTTGTCTATTATTAGATTCATCATTTTACCAAACTTACTTTCTTCATAGATAAATACTTCAATTTTTTAATGTTAGGCAAGAGCTTTGGAAATGCATCATTGATTTATAACTTTTTACTGTGAAATGTAGAATTAGGGACTAAAAAAAAGATTTAGAGACTAAAATAAAAAACACGTCAACTTATAGGGATGGAAAGACTATTTAAGCCATAATTAAGAGTTTGTGTTCATATTTTCATCCCCAACCTTCATACGAACCCAAAATTGATGTTGAAATTGATACTTAAATACCAAAAACTCGATTGCAGCTGGAAGAAATGCTAGAAAATTCAAGAACATAAATAAAAATAAAAATAAACAAAAAGCAAGAATGTACAAACAAATCATCTATGTTACTTCTTCACCCAAATACATTTGTTTCCATAAAGAGAAAATAATAGAGTGGTTTCAAAACAAACACTAGCATATGAAGTTAGAATTGAAAATTAAATGTACTAAACTTCAAAAAATAAGAAATTTATGAGATTTTAGATCTTGAAAATGAGTGTTAATGATTGAAAATTTACAATCAAGGTTGAAAAATTGAGGAGATTTGGTGTCTGTGTCATGAAGAGAAGGGTCAGGATTTAGAACTTGGAGAAGAAGATTGCAAAATTGAGGGATTTTAAATTTTGCATATTGCAGATTTTAAAGGGAATCAAAAGAAGTCGAAGAAGTTCTAAAAAAAGATGATGGTAAAAATTGTGAGAGAAAGAGTGAATAATAAAGCTACAAAATCAAAAAGTATTTTGAAAAAATTATGGATTTTTACGAAGGTTTGAGATGAAAATATGAATACAAACAAAAAATTAGGGACTAAAATAAAAAAAGATTTAAATTACAAAGACTAGAACAAAAAACACACCAATTTAAAGGGATACAAATACTATTTTATCAAGAATTCCGAGTTTGTGTTCATATCTCTCCATCCCCATCCTTCATACAAATCTATAATTTTTTTTAATTGAATTTGTTTTTCTTTGAAATGAATTTGATTAGAAATTGACATAGGTTTACAGGTGAGAAAAAAAAGAGGTTGGAAATGAATTGAGGAAGAAGATATTTTATAAAATTCTTTTTTTTTTAATTTTAAATTTCGTCCTTCTATATCATATCATTGATGCTACGTCACTAAATATTTGACACCTCAATATTTTTTTATAACAGAGAATTGACGTCAAAGTCTCAAACTAAACGAAATTCATCATATACAAACCTCATAAAAAAAATTTAAAAACCAAAATAAAAAACATCTCAATTTACATAAACCCCTAAAATCTATTATTTAATATAATGATACTGCAATGAACGCGATCCATAATACAACATCTTAAAGAAAGAAAATTGCAAAATATGGTTAGACCATGGATATTAAATCCTTGATTGAGAGTGAACAAAAGACACTATCTGAAATGATAGAAGGTAGGTGAAATTGAAAACAAGCTTTAAGTTCAAATTGCTGCTTATCTGCTTTCATTTTTCTTTGCTTTTCAATAACCATAATTAATTATCAGAAAACAAACTGTCGGAAAGCAGATAAACAGTGAGCAGAAACAGAAACAATAATCCATATCAAGAAAATGACATTTGAATAATTAATAAACATGAGCTGTATTTTCACATCAAATTAATTCAAAGCAACAGTTGGAGTCTTCTTTTTATTGGTCTATGTAACTATCACTAATTGCAATTAGAATGTTAACATCTATAAAGCAAAATGACCATTATTGGTCTAATTGTGTTTAATGTTTATATACTAATTAACTTGTCATTATTTAATCTTTAATTGCCTGTTAATTAACTGTCAAGTACTAAATTAGAAGATGACATACGTTAATAAATCCTTTAAATCTGCATGTGAGGTGCTTATACTAAACCATTCATTATTGCATGCAACTTTATATTGATGCATACCTTTCTTCAAATTATATAGTCTAATTATGCCGTTTAAATTCCGGAGTTTTATATGACACAAAATTACTCCTTAAACTAATTTTATCGGATTACGTTAAGATCTGTGATGTTGTATATGATAAAATATTATGAGGTAAAGAATTAACAAGAAAATAAAATTAGTGTAACAGAGATGATGATGATGTGTTGGATATGTGGTAAGACTAAACATGATAAAATTAAAAAGAATTTTGAGATAACACATATGATATAAAAGACAGTGAAAAATAGACTTTGTGGTTTGAGCATGTGGAAAGAAAATCTATAAATTTTTTTGTAAAGAGAGTAGAGTAGATTGGATGAAAAAGTGTTAAACAATTAGAGGTAGATAAAAAAGTGTTAAACAATTAAAGGTTGAGAAAGACTTATAAACTATAAGATAAGAAATTGTTGCATAAATATGGTGTTTTTACTTTTCTCTTGTAGGTGCTCATCTTTTTCATGACTTACATGCAGAGCCGGCCCAAGCCACTTAGGCCTCAAAAATTCAGACTTAAAAACTCATAATTTTTTAATTTAATTATAAAAATATTTAATGACACATTAGTTACATATATTAATTATAAAAATAGTTAAGTTGATAAAATATAATTTTTTTTATTCGGTCTTGAGTTCAAATACTTATCAAACCACAAATTTATTATTTTTAAATACATTTTAAATGCTTAATTTTAAATTTTGTTTAAACTGGTTTGGCCAACTCTGCCTAATTGGTGGAGCCTATTGTGCAACTTTTTATTTTTCATTAACCAACTTTGTTTTACTATTGAAAATATTTTAAACTGAGAGCGTCTATTAACCAACTTCATTACTTCATTAACCAATTTTTTACATTTCATTGACCAAACTTTATTTCATTACTTTAAACTACTGTTCACGAATACTGTTCATCTACACTATTCACACACTGTTTATGGAGTATTATTTATGTACGGTTCATATATTGTTTATAAAAATATTTTTTTATTTAAAAAAAATACTGTTCATCATATAAATACGGTGAACAATAAATACGATGTATGTATTTGGTGTAAAAGTGGTATAAGAATAACAATCCGATATAAAAAACTGCCGTATATATGCAAGTGGAAACAGAAACACTTCTATAAATCTATGTATTCTTTCATATATACAACAAATAATAATGAAAGAGGAAAATGGACAGACAAAGTACATCATCTTGTGTAACCTTTGTACAACAAAAAAAACTACATGGGCACCATGCTTTCACCATCCCTTTTTTACATAAAAAAACAAAAGTCATCAATTCGAAGACTATTCTCCCCTATACATGATCAATCACTTTCTCTCACAAGCCTGCATCAAACGGCACACCGCTACCAGAAATCCATGACTCACCAGCCAAGAAATTATCAACAGAAAATTTAACTGCTTCTGAAGGATTTGTAATTACATGAAAACCAGACCAGTTCACTCTCCCGTCTGTATTAGCACCACCACCAACATTCATATATTCACCATAATAAAGAGTGCTCAAAGCAAAATCACCACTCCATGGTGCCCAACCTTGAGAGTTTATAACACCATCAATGTTACTTTTCATAACTACGGTTCTTGAATATTTCTTCCACGGCCTACCTAGATAACTTTTCACTGAATTCTGATATGGTTCCAAATCACTTGCGGCGGTTATACGGCAGTTATGGATCACTATTCCCGTGTTCTCGTTTGGATCTGTTCTTCCCTGTGCAGTAACTAAATTCTGTTGGTTGCTCATAGGTTTTCTAAGGAAGATGTTGCAGTTCTGAAGGACCGTAACTGCGTCACCGAAGATGAAATCGACTGTTCCGTATATGTTACAGTCACGGTAGAATTGACGGTTTGCGTAGACGTATAGAGTGTCTTGGTAGCCTTTGAAGGAGCAACGGTAGTAAACGGAATGATCGGAGCCGGAACGGAAAGCCACGGCTTGGTGCTTTTGTGGTCCGGCTGTATTCTCGAAGGTCATGTCTTTAGCAATAAAACCATCTCCCATAACACCTGCAGTAATTACACAGCAATCGTTAAATGATTAATTTATTGTTTGATACTAATATTTTGAAAGCAATAGTATATGACAAGAAATTTATGATGATGATGTATGATAGTGATTGCTTAGTTCAAAAGTGTTTTTATATTTTATTACATTTTCCATTAGTGTTACTATTTCATTGATCATATGAATTAAATAGTGACTAACTGTGGAAGAACTTACCAAAAGTAGCTGAATCAAAAGTTGTTGAGCCATCTTGGAAGTTATGATTACCGGTAACAATAGTGGAATCCATTCCATCTCCAAATATCATTAAGTTCTTCAATGTCCTCTTGATAACAATTTTTTCTTTATAAACACCTGCTTTCACGTGAACAATAACTCTCCCTTTTCCACTAAGTTTAGAAGCAGCAGCTACACCTTCTGAGATTGTCTTATAGTTCCCACTTCCATCTTGTGCCACCACAATATCAGCACTTGGTGTTGTCTGCAAAAGCTTTCTATCTGAACCTGAAAGCCAATGTGGAAATTTATCTGATAACAATCTTCTTCTTCCTCCGTTTTGTTTACTATTTGCCGGCGTCAAAGAAGCTAGAGTGTTGGTAATAAACAAGGAATTGCTAAGCAATTTAGTAAAGTTGGTTAAGATGGAAGGAAAGTAGTTTAAGTGGGAGGGAAGGTTGAAATCAATGAAACCATTTAGGCAAGTTTGATGATTGTTAATGGAAGCACTTTGCCAAGTTAATTTGTCATTTAAATTGTTTGAGTTAATGGAGCGATTAAGTTGATAAATCGTATCCTCATAAAGCTCTAGACAATCTTCCCATGCTGACTTGGCTCTATTGTCTTTGAAATTATTCATATCCATGGTTGACACAAGTTTGTATGCTTCAATAGCTTGGTCCATGGTAGCCTTGATGGCAATATCATGGAATGAAGAAGAATCTAGAGTTGATAGTGTATTAGTGGTTCCAATGTAATGGTTACAGACATAAGGGTATGGTGTTTGATTGCATGATAATTCTTTGGCATGCACAAACAAGACAGCAAAAAAGAGAAAGTATGCAATGCAACAATTGAATGTGAGTTTATTCATGTGATTAGAAAATGGAGTTTGCATGGTATGAAAATGTTATATGGGAAGAGGTAGCTATAGGTCTATATAAGAATGGATGAGAGATTTGTGTATGAGTGAAAAAAAGTGTAAAGGAATGGTGATATTTATAGGTAAAGAGATTTGGCTTTGGTAGACCATAAAGGTATACTAATTTGTGGGTGTAGAAGCTTAGGATAAATAAATACATATTATGAAAGGTTTACGTGAAAAATACTACAATAATCTTTCACAACAAAAATAATTCAAATATAGCGTTTACTTTATATAATATAAAATATATTTTGGTTTGAAATTCAAACTTTCGTCCATCATTCTGTGAGATATAATTATATCTATATGAGCACAAAGGTCTTTAGGAGGAGATGCCAGAATTCTCTCAAGATAGACGATGTAGCATGTCTCTCTTGTGAGAGACTCCCTAGCCACCCAATTATTAGGATGAACGTCTATTTCTTGATTATGAGGTTGAAAAGGATATTAAATTGATTATACAAAACATCACATACAGAACTTCTTGTTGTCCCTGCATGAGCTTTCTCTAACACCATATATTGTACTTTTATTAAGTACATTTAACGTCCACTGTGGGAGCGATAAAACTTATATGTGTCACACTCATCATTATTCACCATTCATTTTCGCCATCTTCCCACGAAGGATGCAAAAATAAAGTTTCTAGTTCATTGTCAACATCATTGCCAGATGTTTTCTTTGCGGAAGAGAGTCTAGTTCCTATTAGAGAAAATACACTAGACATATCAACATCATTGTCAGAGGTTTTCTCGGCGGAAGACATTGTTAGACGAACATGTACAAGTGAGGGGTCAAATAACGCTCGAAACGAACTTTGGCTCAGAAGTAAGTGCATGAATAATTATAGTAAAGTATCTCGTGCTAGACGCCTTGTCCCCATACAACTCCATCCTAGGGTGGTCCACCCTCGACTTGTTAGGGGATGTTTTGTCTATTCTTCATTTGTGCCTGAAGTATACATTACTTGGAGGGTAAGTTGGATTAGTTTAGGGGGACCACACACTTTCCCAAGAATGCTAGCAGAATAAATTGGAAATGAGAAGCAAGCACGTTGCCATAGACGTCGCCCTCATCCAGAAGCACGAGAGGCAGATGTGGCAAGCTGAGACCCTAGATTGGGAACCGGGAATTTAAGGCTCACTCCCATAGTGGACTTGAAGGAAGTATGGATTGGGCCCTTTGAGCATCAAATTACCAAGATATGCACCTCCTTATCTGACTCTGAGCAAGAAGAGTTTGTTGCCTCGTTAAGGAGGAACTTGGGTTGGTTCGCATGGGCACCTCTAATATGCCTAGAATAGATACAAGAGTGGTTTGTCATCGTATTTCCATTGATTCCACAGTGAAGCCAATGTTTTAGAGGAAGCGCGGGGTATGCAAGGAGAAGAGAGCGATTGTTGATGAAGAAGTTCAAAAGCTGAGAAGCTTCAATTTTATAACTGAGGTAAAATACTAATTTTGACTAGCCAACATAGTTTTGGTTAGAAAGTAATTAAAAAATGGCGCATGTGCATCGACTTCACTAATCTTAATGTCACCTTTCCTAAAGAACAATATCCCTTACTCAACATTGACATCCTGATTGACAGATCCCCATGCTACAAAATGTTGAGTTTCATGGACATCTATTTTGGTTACAATTAGATCAAGATGTATCCTGTAGATGTTCCTAAGAGAATATTCATGTCCAATCATGGCAACTATTACTACAACGTCATTCCTTTTGAGGTAAAGAACGTATGTGCCACCTATCAAAAGCTCATGTACGCGGTAATCTTAAAGTAAATAGGGCCAACCTAGAGGTCTATTTCGATGACATGATAATAAATAAGTTAGAAAAGAGCCACATAGAAGACCTGAAGACATCTTAGAGACAGTCATGAACTACAACATGTGCTTAAATCCCGCTAAATGCTTCTTTGGAAGACAAGTAGGCAACTTTCTAGGTTTCATGTTAACCAAGAAAGGTATATAGGCAAACTTAGATAAGTTTCAACCATCATCAACATGAGGAGCCCTTATATTGTTAAAGAGGTTCAACAATTGAAGAGACACTTAGCGGACCTATCTCATTTCCTTTCTCATGCAGGTGATAAGGCTTTTCAATTCTTTTCCACTTTGAAGAAAAAGTAGAAGTTTGAAATGTCAATCAGGATGTTAGGACATTGTACTGTGACAAGCTGTTCACAATCAAAAGTTTCAAGGATTCTCTCTCTGTACAGCTGAACAATATCGTAGTGACTGGTCATCATCCTGTTAGGGGTGTTTTGGGATTTGGTATTAATGAAGAGTTATAGCAACTACAGTTTAGGAGTCCTGAAACACGTTTTTTTTTTGTATTGCATGTGTTTCTCAAGAAAAAAAGTTGTTTTTACATGGAGAAAGTAATTTTAAATGCCGCAATCAAAGCTTGGAAAGCGAAAAAGGGAAACAAGAGAATATCTCTGCTACCAAGGATAATTTCTCCTCTTTCAACAATTCTATCCTTGACTGATCAGGCGATATAAGCAAGGATATTACTAATTTTTTTCCAAAACTTTATCGCTTCAGTCGTCTACCCAACCGTGTTTCAACATGAGTCAAAATTTCAAGAATGCTGATGCTAAAGAGGCTTGTGTGATACTAATGGATACCAAGAAGGACTAGAATGTGAATCCAAAGAAGATGGAATTTGAAGCTATGACATCTGTTGAATCATCTAGGATAGGGAAGCCGTCTGTGACAAGGATCAAGCCTTTTAAGAAAAGTCAAGTTCAACTGCATGAGTCTGCCGAGGATGGTGGTGAAGATTGGGTTAATTTCATTAACTCTGGCGGCTGAAGTCGATAGTTGGCTTCATTTGTGATATTTTTTTTGGTTGTGTGTGTTGTTTTGCTGTTTGTGTCATAATAATTCCCTAACAATATTTGTTTCCATATGTTGCTTTGTGTTTCTAGTTGTTTGTGCTTCCATTAGAACTGAGTGTAGTTTTTGCTACTGTGTGTTTTCGTTTTGTTTACATTTACTCTATTTTTGTCAATTTTTGGCTAAAAAGGGGGATTAAAGTGTTAGTATATGTTTGTTGTCTTTGATGTTGGATTAGATGACATTACATCATGTCATGTTTTTGTGTATACAACTATTTATGGGGAGCATGATAATTTGTCATGCTTATGCATCTTCCACTGAGATGATGTATATGTGCAATGGTGTGCAACCACACCTCCTGAAATGTTGGTTATGGAGAACCTTGGATGCTCTATGGTAATTTATTACTCTAATACTCTGAGCAATATGTGTGGCTTCTACTATATGTGTTTCTAACGCATGAACTTGGATAATTCATATTATCCTGTCAGGTGATTTGAGTTTTCCCCTTGAGAGGGATATGTGACACAAGATAGCTAAGGGTTGGATTTCTTGTGCTTTGGGTTTTTCCCATTTGTGATTTAGGTTTTTCCCATTTTTCCTTGAGGGGGAGTAGTGGTTATGTGTGACAGGGGGAGGAATGGACCTGTTGTTGTGTTGGAGATATGTTGATGTGATGTCAGACCACATATCTTGACATCAGATCTCTGGAGATTTCTGGAGTTTGAAGAAGTTGTAGTCTCTGATGATCTGTTGCTGCATTTTATCTCTGATATCTTTCTGATTGCAGGTTCTGTGGTGTTATTCCTCTTCTCCAGAATTATTATGCAAAGGTTATTTTAGCCAAAATTTGCCAAAGGGGGTGATTGTTAGATCCATAGTTTTAGGATCAGCAACAATTTTGCTAAAACATGGTTCACAACAAGATGTTGTGTGAAATGTTCTAACTTGTTGGTCTGTCAACATTGAAGACTGATGTTCTGACAGATATTGTGACATGCTGTACCAGAACATCAGTACAGGTTGCAGTTTTATTCTTGACAGATTTGATTTTATTTTGTGAGATTTTGTTTGGAAATATCTCACTTATTTTCGCAGGTCAATAAGATTTAATTTGGAAAATCTGATTTGATCTCCAACTGTGCACAAGTTCCTAAAATTGGTTGTTGAGACAATTTAGGAAACTTGATGATTTGTTCAAATATTTAAGGAGACTTTCTCTGCATAATTGATACAACCCTCAACGTATGGATCAAGCAATATTTGAGTGAAGATTTCGAAGCCCGTGGACTGCTGAGGAGTATTTAAAGAGCAACTTAAACTTAATGAAGATACAACTTTCACTTTAATAAAATAAGGGGAGGTTTTAGAGTATTAGGTTTTGAGAGTCTCGTTTGTGTGACTTTGTAAGTCACCTATGTATCTTTTGATATATTGAGGTAGACTAATTATGTATTATTAATTGTCTACTCTAAAGCTTTTAAGCAAGAGTGTATTGTTCTTAGTTGAAGCTTGTAAGCAAAACTAAGTATTGTCTTGGAAGTGTGCTATTTTTTTTTGTTTCTTGAGGTATTGTCACTAGGACTGTGACTGATTAGGAAGTGGTAGGGGGATCTCATATCTAGAAGGTTTCTAGGTAGAAGTTACACAAGGTAGTGATTAGGTGAGAAGTTGTAAACGAGGGAGTTTAGCTTTGAACTAATGCTATAATATTGAATTTCTTTTCTGGCTTGGTAGCCTCCAGATGTAGGTGATGTTGCATCGAACTGGGTTATCAATTTGTTGTGTTGTTTATCATTCTGTAATTTAATTCTGCATATTTTACAATCTGATATAATTGTTCTGTCAGACGGAAAAATGTTGTAACATCTGTCTTGACATCATGTTCTGATGTGGACATCAGTATTAACATGTGTTAGAGTACCAAAATTTCAATCCTCATCCTTGAGACTAGGTTTTCGAGTATGAAACTCAAAAGGGACTCCCAATTGGTGGAAAATCAATTCACTAGGGAATACCAGGAAAAGAAGCCATAGCATATCAAACATCTGAAAGAAAGGCATGTTATTTATTAGAACATTTCAAAGCTTTTGGAATAATGTATATGCCTAGGGAACAAAATT